TCGCTATGCGGGGCACCACTGTAGTTCAATTGGAATGCCATCACCTCCACTGGCCTTGTTGTTAGCCATGCTTTCTAAGGCCCACTTGACTTCACTCTCCAAGATGTCTGGCAACCACACTATCTGGCAACCACACTATCTGTGTTTTCTGGCAACCACACTATCTGTGTTGTCTGGGCTATCCAAATCTTTCTGGTATAATTCCTCTGTGTATTCTTGCCACCTCTTCTTGATGTCTTCTGCTTCTGTGAGGTCCCGACCATTTTTGTCCTTTATCATGTCCATCTTTGCACAAAATATTCTTTTAATATCTTCAATTTTCCTGAACAGATCTCTGGTTTTTCCTTCTCTATTATTTCCCTCTATTTCTTTGAACTGTTCATTTAAGAAGGCCCTCTTCTCTCTCCTTGCCATTCTTTGGAAGTCAGCATTCAATTTTCTGTAACTTTCCCTAAAGGGGCTGCTCCCTCACCGCATGGGTGATGGTGGCGCCTCCTCCTTCTCCTCACAGCATGGGGGTTTGAGAGGAGGTGCCGCCATCACCCATGCAGCGAGGGAGCAGCCCGGGTAGGTGGGACTTGTTAGCCTTTGAAGGCAGCCCATCTAGGAGAAGGAAAACTCCTATCCCAAACCCCCGTGCCATCAAGAGGAGGAGGAGGCCCTCTTGTTTCTCCTTGCTATTCTTTGGAAATCTGCCTTCAGTTTTCTGTAACTTTCCCTATCTCCCTTGCATTTTGTTTCCCTTTTCTTCTCTGCTATTTGTGAGGCCTCATTGGACAGCCACTTTGCTTTCTTGCATTTCCTTTTCTTTGGGGTGGTTTTTGTTGCTGCCTCCTGGACAATGTTACGAGCCTCTGTCCAAAATTCTTCAGGCACTCTGTCCACCAAATCTAGTTCCTTAAATCTGTTCTTCACTTCTACTGTGTATTCCTAAGGGATTTGGTTTAGATTATACAGTACCTGAGTAGCCCAGTGGTTTTTCTACTTTCTTCAGTTTAAGCTTGGATTTGCTGTAAGAAGCTGATGATCAGAGCCACAATCAGCTCCAGATCTTGTTTTTGCTAACTGTATAGAACTTCTCCATCTTTGGCTGCAGAGAATACAATCAGTCTCATTTAGGTATTGCCTATCTGGTGATGTCCATGTGTAGAGTCCCTCTTGTGTTGTTGGAAAAGAGTGTTTGTGATGACCAGCTTGTTCTCTTCACAAAACTCTATTAGCATTTACCCTGTTTTCTT